TTTACATATGATTGATTACAAAAACTTCAAATATTGAAAGAATAGGTAGTATAATGTCATAATGCATTTCCTGATTTATCTATTTAGTTGTAGATGTCACCTAAATATTTTCCTATTCTTTCAAAATTGTTGATTGATAATACCTATTTTCTCTATGTTTGAGGTAACTACAACCTCCAAAAGCTTCTTCCAAGTAACTAAAATTAGTCATTGTCCAAGAATGGATGAATACAAATTATGAAACTAGGTTCATTATATAAAAGTATCCTTGTTTATAATGAACTATTCATATTATAGTGTTTAAATATATGTAGATTAAATAGAAAATTGTATCTTTTTTTAATTCAAAATTATTGTAAATCCAATTTTCTTATACATCATTTCCTATTATGAAAACTCTTCTTCCTTTCCACTTCTTCATTTGACTTCCGCCTTACGCGCCAACAAGCCAGCCACTGTCTGTTCAGTCAAAGCACACAAAAACCAAAATAACACTTATTATTTGGATTACTTCTTCCGCCCATATAATTAAAGTTCCAATAAAACCATAACTTTCTTCTTTAGCCCAAATAATCAAAATAAAAAACTTCTTCTAACGAAATTAAAAATATAACTATTAACCCAAACTTAAATTAACTTCAACAAAATATGTACATAGGAGAGATACGGCAAAACAGGTAAAAACAAGAAAGGTTACGATTCAAACATAAAAATAACGTATTTCGAACCGGGGTCCCAGCGGCTCAGTACATAGGATTATGAAAATAATTCTAACTATTTTGAGTGCGCCACCTTTTGCTCAGAAGCCAAAACAAAATCCTAAATAATACCTAGTCAAACCATTAGATGGACTTCTCTCGAAAATTTTGAATATTTGAAATTAAACGAGATAAAACATTTATAGTTTTATCTCGTTTAATACTGTATACAATTCGAACAATGTTTCTGTATAATAAATATTCAATTGCGTTGCAATTTTCCTTTCAATTTAACATTCAACAAGAGAAAACGAGAGTGGAGAAAACTTAATGAATTTAAAGCATAAGATCCAATATGTGTATATAAAAAACGAGGTGTTAATTTATTGTTTGCGTCCAACGTGCGATTTGTTTGGTGAGCGACGCGAGCTGAAGAAAGTGATGTGGTGGAAGAAATGAAAGAAAGAGTAAGGGAAAGACTCACTTTCTTCGGCCAGTTCTTTTGGAAATGTGGGTCAGAGTCTCGCATCCAAGTGACAAAGCCGCATGAGTGATCGTAACATAATAACAAGCAGTGCGTGTTTGTGACAAAGTTTTTACCTGTCCTCATCACATACGACAACACCTCCAGAATAGTATAATATTTGTAGACTAGGATTAGGGTAGGAGATGAAGCTAACCTTCTGGATATTATTGTCTGGTAAGTTTTATTAGATAAAATTTGTTAGTTGAGATCAGGAAACTTGATTTTTTTGGAGATTCCGTTAAGTGCGAAACCCACGCTCGTAAACTGTTCCCATTTTATTATTTGCATGTATTAGTATTATAAATTTGTAGATATGTATGAAGAATAAGAAAAGATAGAAATTATTGTGTACGCGCCTATGTTGAGAAAATAGGTGGAATGGAAACTTTTCATTTAATTACAATATCCTCGCGAAGGAAAGTTCTTGGCAGTATGCACGAAAATTATTAAATTAATGGAGATTAAGTGCAAACATTTAATTACCGGAGGAAACGTATCCTGCGGGGGATGGAATGCACGTGAGCGAATCCAATTTAACGCAAGACGATCTATTAAATCTTCGGTTCTCCAAAAAAATGTACAAGGAAAGTTCTGGTTCCTTTGACTTACAGACCAAAAAAAAATAAGCAACGAAAGAAAATGTATAACAATGCGTATTATTTGTAACCGGTGAACGCATTTGATCTTTTCCTTTTGTTAATACACCCGAAACAATCATTTTACATTACTTTCTGCGCAAAAGAGAAACAATGGTGTTTAAGAAAAGAAAAAATATCACTTAGTCATAGAGAGAAAGTTGCATTCGCCAAAACCCCCGTCTTTTCTTCTTTCCTTCCGCTGTCGAAACTGGATAAAAAAAACAGAAACACGAGAGAGAAGAACAACAGTAAAAAAAAATAAAGCGCAACACGATAAATACCTAGAAGAGTAGAAACTCGACGACGCGACCTTGCGTAACGCGGCGAGTTGCGCAAGATCCCTAATTGCGAGCCAAGGGGGGAAAAACCATCCACGAAATCGCAGCGAGAAAATTGCGCAAGCTTTTTCAGGTCGTGCGATTCATCAAAAACCAAAAAAAAAATAATTATAAATAAATAAATACAAATTTGTATGTGTATAATCGTTGCGGTGTCCGGGGAACTCCGAATGTTACGTCAAGCGGATGTTCCGATAGGTGAAAGTAAAAGAATGAATTATTAGTAACGTGTATATAGTATAAAAAAACAAGTCGTCGGAGAAGTTGAAATACGCCTGAGGGCCTTGACAATGTAATACTTGCATTCTCACTTTCTTTTCGTGCATCCGAGAGGATGATGCACTTTGAGGAATGTTACCGTTTTTTTTTCTGTCCATCAAGGCGTCGCGCTGTTCGCGCTTCCGAACGCCGCGGACTACGTTTCGGATCAGACCTACTTCACACCATGGGAACAGGAGAAGCCGTCCCGATGGATAAGGCTACCGCAGATGCGAAGACCGGAAAGGCAGGCGGATAAAGATGACGAGGGTCGACACTTTGGCGCGGATACCATTTTCAAGATATCGGAAACGCTGGGCGCCATCAACACTGTCGGAAGGTATTTGGTGAACATGACCAGAGGAAACCGCGAGAGCGGCGACGGTCTTTCCCAGGAGGTGCCTAGCGCAATCTACACGATCAGTAAGAACGTCCTTGGAAGGAATGTCACTGATTCGATAGCGCCGTTGGTCAGGGAAGCTTTACCGCCAGATTACAGGACGACGCCGCCTACTAAGACTACTACTACTACGACGACGGAAGCTTCAGCCGTTTCCAGAGTGTGCACAACTCCAGATGGTTTACAAGGGTAAATTTCGATATGATTACAGCATGGAACTGATGATCAGTACATTTATTAATTTTTAGGTATTGCGATGATTTGAGAGACTGTCCTCAGCTTCTTCTAAACTTGAGCAATTTGCGCCAATCCCTTTGCTTCAAAAGCCTTTTCGAACCGGGTGTATGTTGTCCAAGATCCAACACTGACAAAACTACCACAATACCTCCGATACCGCCAGTTTTGACTGGTAATCCAATAGCGGAATACGTGCCACCAGAATTAGAGAATCTAGTTCCCATCATCACATCAACACAAGCACCTCAAATTCAACAGCCTTCTCTACCTCCAAGCCTCTCTCCAGTTGGAAACATTGTTGACCCTGAAGGTACCAAACTTATTCTAATATTATAACTAACAAAATATATAGCAGTAATATAAAATATCAATTTTTTATCTGAAAATTTAATTTTTGTTTAATTACAACAAAAGCATTAATGATATTCATAATAACAATCATTATTAAAGATATTTTAAGAAAGTATATTAGTAACAGTTTAAACTAAAGTTTTAGAGAGAGTTTTGGTATTATGTTACTATCCTTATGGTGTATTCATATTACGCCCAATAAGCGAAGTTGCGCGTGCACATCTTGCATCATGCTGTACAAAGAAAAGCACGCGTTTACCAGACGTTTTGACTAGTGTAACCACCATATATTATATCTTGTAATTTAATTAAATTTCACTAACCTTAATGATTACATTTCATAAAATAGTAGTTATTAATAAGTCTGTTTTTCATTGACCGCAGTCTTTCCGCCCTACTTTTCATCATTTTTATTATGTCACGTGATTAAATTTTAAAAAGACATTTCGTATAATTTTAAATTTATTTATATTTTACTGAATTCAAATTGAAACCAAAAACTTAATCTTTTAATGAAAGAAAGAAAAATATTAAAATGTGAATTAAAATTTATTACTATTTTATAGTAAATTAAAATTACAAATTATTAATGTCCCATGTAAATAAATAATTTTAATTGAATGAATAAATGTAAATAATTAATGACAATGTTTTGTTTTAAATGTTAGATTGTGGACAGCCGGAAAACGCAAATTTCAGGGTTGTAGGAGGAGAAGAAGCATTGCCGGGTCGTTGGCCTTGGATGGCTGCAATCTTTTTGCACGGTTCCAGACGAACAGAGTTCTGGTGCGGCGGTACCTTAATATCCCCGAAGCACATATTAACTGCGGCGCATTGCACCAGGGATTCCCGTCAAAGACCGTAAGGCCCAAAACATCCAAAACTTCAATCTAGCTCTAGTTACAAATTCCCTTTTGCAGATTTTCAGCTCATCAATTCACCGTGCGTTTGGGCGATATTGATTTAAAGCGCGAGAACGAGCCCTCCGCTCCTGTCACATTCAAAGTGACGGATATAAGGGTGCACAAGGAGTACAATAGGCTGGGATTCTACAACGACATCGCCATTTTAGCGCTGGATAGGCCGGCTAGGAAGTCCAAGTACGTGATCCCTATCTGCCTGCCGCAGGGTAACCTGAAGAGGGAGTCGTTTGCGGGTCGCAGGAGCACAGTCGTCGGATGGGGGACAACCTATTACGGTATTTTAGCGGCTCAAAGGAGTCCTTGTAGTTAGTTGAACGTACTTATTTCAGGTGGCAAGGAGAGCACCACGCAAAGGCAGGCGGAGCTGCCCATCTGGCGGAACGAGGACTGCAAACAGGCGTATTTCCAGCCGATCACCTCGAACTTCATTTGCGCTGGTTATTCAGAAGGTGGCACCGATGCCTGCCAGGTATGAGGATTACGTGTTTAAATGACGCTCGGTCGCAACCAAAGAGGCTTTTGTTTCAGGGCGATTCCGGAGGCCCTTTGATGATCAATTGGGACGCCAGATGGACCCAAATCGGCGTTGTTAGCTTTGGCAACAAGTGCGGCGAGCCCGGATATCCCGGAGTTTACACTAGAGTCACAGAGTACATAGATTGGATCAAGAAAAACACATATTAATCTATAGCAAATCCATCACCAATGGATATACCAATAACAAAATTGTAAAAAAAATCATAGCTATTATTATTTTTGTAATTTATTAGTAACAACCATTAACCACATATTTATTTACTTGCTAATCACTAATACTAGTAGTCCTCAACTTTGACTTTAGTCATAGCATACCTCATTTGTACTAAAGTCCATTTCCCATAACAATAAAATACTACAATACAAGTGCACATACATAAAAATAAACTTTAGTAACCTATAAGACCCATCTTATAGTGGATCTAAAAATCCAAATGTTACTTCATAAAAGTAAAGTTGATTCAATTGTTATTACTTTCCTATAAAAGTTTACATTATTTTTTTTATAACTCGATTTAAGTTCTAAGTAGGGGATTACCGGTATTAATTCAAGTGCCTTTATAATTCCAACGAATTAAGTTAGCAAGTCATGTATTGTTTTTTTTTATTCAAATATTTATTTAATTAACAACTTATATACATATAGATATAAATTATTAGTGTTGTATGTGATATGTCTGTATAAAATAAAATAATAATTTAATTTAATGAAGTCCTTTTTTTTAATGTATACGTATTTAATGGTAACTCCAATAAACGCACAATACGAGAAGTGAACAAAAATAAATAAAAACATTATTCAAATGCGATTTTATTCAAACCGAAATCGCAATTGATTTACACGAATATTTTATTAGTCGAATTTCATACAAAACAACAATTTAATAAACCCAATAAATATTCATTTTAATTACTCTGATTTAATCAATTCCGTGCCTATTTTTAATTGCAAACCAATTTCGGATAAACTAATTTTCTTATCATTACATTTTATACATTTATTAAAAAAAAATACAATCTACAAAATTCTGAAATATTTTGTCACGATATTTTAAAAAAATACTTAATTTTAAAACCTAAAGATATATTAGTATTAGTTCTCAAATGGCTATAGACCACAAGGTTAATTCTATTAAATAGTAATTTGTCCGATCATAACAATGTTGTGCAAAGGATATATTTTTTTGTCTTTGTAATGTGTCATAATGTTAATGTGTCTTTTTATAAATAGATTAATGGATTTTGTAATATAATTTGATATTATAACAGAAATATCCTTAAAAAATTGAATTGTTTTTGCAAATTTTGCAATTCTTCAAAAAAAAAAATGTAATTATTCTCTGATTACATAAGGAAATTTTTATTATGTTAAAAATCTTACAAACATTTTGTGCATTGATGAATAGATTTGCAAATAAACATAGATGCTGTTATATAAATGCATTAGATTAAAATGTTATGACATATCATGGAGTGTATTTCATTGGTATAGAAAATTGAATCTGCTGTCAATGTTAAATATTTATATAAAAGTACATTATTGAAATTAATCAAGAGTATGCATATCGAACGTGTCAGAAATAAATAATAAATCACAATCAGTTGAATTATTTAAAATTTTGTTTATGAAATCAATCACAATCACGAACATCCTCAAACTAGAACAATAAGAGTTTCAGAAAGAATTTCGAAAAGTAATAAAAAAAATGCGTTACGTAAACACTATTTTAATTTTATGGGTCGGAATGCCTCTGTCTCAAACGGCGGTTCTTAACCGTTTTTTTATGATCGCAGATCTTCCAATACTTACAATGTTTTGTTCACGCCAAGAGACATTATTTTACTTCGAAAGAAAAAAAATAGTAAAAAAAATTTACATACATCATTTGAAATTCGAAGGAGAAGTTGGTACAATTTTTTATACGATTTTATTGTAATTTTTTATTAATAATATTTAGGTTGCATTATATAACTGTAACTCAATTTAAATCAACAATAAAACAGTGATAACTAACATTTTTATTGATTTGTTTACTTTAAAATTTATTTTGATTTGTATACTTTGTACTTATCAATAAAAACATGTATTCTTAATTTTAAACTAAAATTAACAAGTAATTGTTTTGAGTGAGGAAATTGCTTTATATATGTAGTAAAAATGTTTATAAGATAATCCTCGTTATTATTTAATCATTTGTTTAACGTCATTAACAATGGAAGTTTTGAGCACATAATTACATAAACACTTGTCTAGGTGCTTAAGATAGGAATTTCCATGTTATGTTTATAGTTTTGATGACATATTTAACTAAATTCTGCAATAGTTTTGTGCAATTAGTAGTTACATAAACTTATTTTCAGAGAAACCTTCCGCATTTATTATTTATTTAATTAATCATATTTGTAAGCTAATTGTTAAATCTTAACTTCGTAAGACGAAAATTCGTAAAATTAAAGAGTTTAATTATTTACTCTATTGAAAAAATATTGAAACAAATTATTATTATAATAGTTCTTACATATTTTATTTCGATCTATTCGTAAGTTGAGAATTCGTTAAATGAAATACTTTAATCGTTGACAGTTATGGCCGAATTGCCTTGAACACGTATTCTGATAGTTTTTAATTAATCCATTTCACTTCGTATGTCGACAGTTTATAAAATTAAGGAATAACATTTAAAACAAATAATTGTTGTTATAATTATTCATTAATTCATTTACATTTTTCTTCGTAAGTCGAGAATTTGTAAAATGAAGAACTTTAATCGTTTACACTTTTAGATTAAAAACTAAAATTAACACATTTTTCTTCGTAAGTCAAAATTCGTAAATTGAAGTAATTTAATATTTTACCCATTTTAAACAAATAATAATAATTGTTATTGTTCTTCATTAATTCTTTTACATTTTTCTTCGTAAGTCGAAAATTCGTAAATTGAAGAAGTGTAATATTTTACCCTTAAGCAGAAATACATTCAAACAAATAAATATTATGATAGTTCTTAATTAATCCACTTCGATCATTTTTCGTAAGTTGAGAATTCGTAAACTGAAAACAGAACAGAATAATTCATATATAAATAATACTTAATTAGATAATTGATTTTGATAGTTAAAAAAAATGTGTGGACAAATAAAATAATGTTATAATATAATACGAAATTTCGTATTTTTTTTATCAAATTATATCTTATACAATTCGTAGAGCTGGGAATTCGTAAAGCGGTGATTACCCAAACAACAGCTGCCAATTAATGTTGATTACGTAATTAATATTTATGAGGATCGGTGCTGATGGGTTGAAAAAAATAAAATACACAAAATAAAACTGTATGTGGAGTTGAAGAAGAGAGAGAAAAAAATCGCTCCGCTCATTGAAAAATGAGAATTGTGCATCTGATATTCCTAGAGAGAGAGAATGTAAACAATGAATTAAATGTGCTGGTTGCGCATGTTGCCAATGCGAATGATTCCAGCGGCATTACTCGTGGTTTCGTTGAATCAATTAGTAGCAGTTTATTTTAATAGATTTATTTACATATCTGCATTTCATAAATGAAATGTTGCGAATCTATATGCTGTGCATATTTTGTGGGCTTTCGCTCCGCATGAAAGACAAATATAAAATAATTATAAGGGCAACAAGGGCGTGCAGGAAGTACCGGTTTAAGCGTTTCGTATAAAATCGGTTAATTGCGGTCTATCAAGTAAAAGCCCTTTAATGCAGTCGTTCGGCCGATCGTAAACTGTTAAAAATAAGTTGTCTACACTCTCGCATAAAGTCGGAAAATGTCGATCCCATTCGCTAATCTCCGCGGATATTTCCAAATTGGATTATTTACAGTAGTCTTCAAACGTTGTCCATTCATAAATTATATCATTTTATTTATAATTCCCAGAAATAAAAATTATCTACAATTTATGAACATAATGAAATGAAAATCTTTATATTTTGTTTTCATTTTATAAAATAATAAATGTAAATTTTATGTCAAAATTTCGATATTTTTTTATTTGGATTATTGATGAAATCTATTAACTTTAATGAAAATTATGAATTTTCTGTTTCAAATTTTTTTTTTCTTGAAAATTTGTGTTGAATTCAATTACCGGAAACCACTAATGGTAACACAGTTTAAAACCACTGATTTATATCACGACATAAACTGAGGTATACCTGATGAGCAATCGATGTGATATTAAAGCTTTTCCAATATATGTAATTGCATCGGCTTTGGAGTAAACAACATGTAGGAAATCCTGCAGCCGGGAATAAGCTGCTTAACTTTTGCAGGTCTGTGTTTGCGGCTGAAGCGCATCCAACTTCTTGTGTTATATATTATGTAAACTGCATAGCTAAGAGACGAATTCCAAAGATAAAAATGCAGCTTTCTTTCAGCTTCTCGAAGCTTTTCTTTTTCGTTACAATTTTGTACAAATCACTGCAAAGTATTATTTGGGCGCCTTAATAACTTGAAATTTGAATTTGGAGTACTGGGATAATTTTTTAGTTGAGATTGAGCTTTAAAAAACAAGTAAAAAAGATTTGTGGGATCTATACAATAGTTATTTTTACTATTTAAACTTAAATTTTCTATTTGGCCCTCCTACAAATCCCTCCGGACATTTCAGTTCCGTCACTGATTTTATTCCCTTTGCGAACTGAATAATCTTTCGCAGTAATCGGAGGTTGTTTAAGAAAGATGATCACCCTTTGCGAAGAAACAGTTCGCAGACGACACCGTCATTTGTCGATAATTTCCTTCACATCCTTGGATTAAATTAAATACAGCATGGAAATCCTTTTAGAAAAACGATTGAAGAAGAAAAAAATATATCATTAATATTTTTTAAACGTTATTAAAACATTTCATATATTTACATGGAAACTTATATAATCATAACGGAAAAAACGATATGATTTCCAAGTAATAACCTAATTATAAATTTGATATGGTAGGTTTCTTATTTTTTCTGGAATCTTATCACCAATTAATTCGTTTTTAGGTATTTTCAGTTTTGCGGTGAAATAATTTTTAACCGCTAATTGTACGAACGTGTATTATTTCAAATAAGTATTATATAAATTTCAATTATATATGCGTTTATTTAATTATCCTTAAAAAATTTGAAAATTTGTGTTGATTTTAATTTGTTTTGCTCTTCTATAAAACATTATTTTTTTAATGGTTTTTCGTTTATTCATTACCAAAATTTAAGTGGTTAAGCTATAAAATATTAACTTATAGTTATAGTTGTAAATGTAGGATAAATAGAAAATCAAATTAAAGTGTAGTTGAAATGAATATGCGGAATGTACGTTTGATGGTTGTTGGGTGTGAAATGCGATTTAATATGCATTGGAGTGGTGAGTAGTGAAGATACTATTACAAAGATGTATGCATTTGAGGTCTGCTGCTCAGGTTGTAGATCTAGACTCATAGGTTAATGGAGCGATATGCAATCGTTGATTGAAGAGATATAGGGGATAGATAGGATCAAAGCGATGGGAAAATCGGAACAGGAGAACACGATCGAGCGAAGATATACAAAAATAAGCAATCTAGAAGGGAAATAGAAAGAGAGAGATGAACCTCATTAAAATTTGACGAATCTCGTGCGGCGGTGCCTGGAATGTGTTGCGTAAAGCGGTGGTATTTCGAAACGTAATTTGTAAATGGTTAAATACATACACCAAACGCTTGCCTTTACATCTACTTGTTACATAGTGATTAATTAAGACATTACTTATTACTTTAGTTTACTAAAACCAAACTTTTGTCAAGTTGTAAAACTATCTATTTTCTATTTATTACATTAGATTTAATGATTTAATAAATAAATAAATGAAAAGACAAATTTATGTATTCACTTAAATTAATGATTTTTTATCTATAATTTTATTTTTAATTATTTCATTTTTGCCATAATATTTCACTAAAATTTTATTTTAAGCAACAAATACACATTTCAAGTGTCTAGAAAAATAGTTAATTTATTGTATTTCTATTAATTATTATTTATTACATATATTAATTATTAATAATATAATTTGTTAAAACTTTTCAATTAATTCGTTTTTTTTCTATAATAATGTTTTTTTTTGTAAACATTTTATCTATGATAATGAATTAATGATAATCAAGGATATTGTATGTATTTATTTTATAGATGTAGTGTTTGAGGATAATGATAATATTAGATAGTTTAATGAAGATTTCAAGGATGAGATGAGAGCAAATTAGATCATTCCTAGTAATACCAATTAGTGTATATAAGTACGATTGCGATTAGGATGATGTTTGTGAAGTTGTAAATGAGCACAAAGCTAAGGTAAAGTGGATGCGTAGTTTATGGGGTATGAGAAGTATGAGTCTTCTGGAATGGAGATAAGGGATTCGTGAGTGTGCATGGTGTAGTAGTTAGAATTGGAAAAGCATGTGGGGAATAAAGTCCTGGCGCAGGCTCTGGATTTTCCTCAATTCGTATCGGCTCGCGTTCATTCGGGTTGGTTTCCCAGTTTGATCTCCCCAAAGCATGCGGCAGCGGTGGCGCTCATATTCAGTTCAGTCTTCAAATAATGAACCAACTAATTGGTTCTGTATTGCCGAGCGAAACGTTGGATTAGATTGGAGACGGCGCGCGCTCCGAATACCCGCCGAAAAAGACACACTCGCAGCACAACACAACAACACTTTACAACCAACAAAAAAAAAAAGGGCACAAG